ATATTTTCTTAAGAAAATGATTGATAAGAAGATGAAAAAATCGTAAGAAAACATATTCTTGTTTTAAGAAAACAAATATAATTCTTATGTTAAGAATTTGATTTCTTGTTTTAAGAAAGTATTTCTTAAAACAAGAGAATCATATTTTCTTAAGAAAATGATATATGAAGATGAGAAAATCGTAAGAAAATATATTCTTGTTTTAAGAAAACAACTATAATCCAAGATATGTTAAGAATTTTTTTCTTCTTATTTCAGGAAAAAATATCTTGCCAATGAAATATTTCTTATTTTAAGAATCTTTTTCTTATTAAGAAAATCCGTTTCTCGTTTTAAGAAATAATTTCTTAAATTAAGAATTTTTTTCTTAATAAGAAAATGATTTTTTGCTATGTAGAAATAAAAATTTCAATAAAAAGATTAACAGCACGATCATTATTAATAGTGTTGCACCAGTGTCTATTGTGTAATTTTGGCGAACGTTTCCACGATAACGTGCCACTTAAGGCCGTTTTCCACTAGGCGGAATTTTCCGCGCGGAATTTCTCTTTGTCTTGTGATTTCTCGGGTGGAACTAATTAGAAAAGACAAAAAGAAATTCCGCTCCGCGCGGAAAATTCGGCCTAGTGGAAAACAGCCTCTAAGTGGGTGATTGACCGCAAAGAAAATAATATCTAGATTATAGTATATAATGTGCAAACTTGGGAGTGATAAACCAAAACAGTTGAGAAACTGGAGAAAGAAATGGCTGTTGCATTGCAAGAAGTCAATTACACTAAAAGCAAATTCGAGTGTGTTGACCAGATAAAGTTGAGCTTGATTTCTTAGATCTTTTCTTAGACAGAAAAAACCAAAAGGTATAACTTTCAGCAAATATCGACGTCTTAGATACAATTAGTTTAATGCAAAGGGACCTACGTTTTGTTATTTTTCGTTCTATCTATAAGGAAGGAGTGTCGCACATTAATGGATTAGTGAAGTCATTTGGAGCACCAGCATGGTGTCGTACGATTCTGGTATCTGGTTATGTTCCGGGAGATCTTTTGCTAATTTGGGTTCTATGTCTGTAAAAAAATTATTTAAAATATTTGCAATTTCTCTTGGTTCAGTTACTATATTCCCGTCATCTGAAATTTCATTTATATTGGTGGATTATACATTCCTATTTGTTAACTCATTAACTTTTTTTCCACATTTTCTTTGCATTTGCCTCGCAATAATTTACTAAATGCCTGCATGTAATAATTTGCTTTCGCATTTTAAACTATTTTAACCACTTCATTTCTAGCATTTTTGTAGGCTTCATGCGCACACTTAGACCCAGATTTTACCGCCTGTTTTTTTAGAAAACCTCTATTATGTATTCTGTCTTTTTATTCTAGGCGTAATCCAGGGTATATGTTCATTTTTTACTTTACGGGTAATCTGGGGCGCGTGGATGTCTGCAACCGCTAAGAACCTTACCTTCCAATCATTCCAAACAACATTTGGATCTTCACTATTTGATAGCGTTTCCAGTAACCTACTTAAATCATATTTAAATGCATCCACTTTATAATTCTTACATTTCCTTGTATTTATTATTTTTGTTTGTTTGCGGGAAATAGATCTTTTTCTTTGTATATAAATAAGACTATGGTCGCTGATTCCTACATGTTCTATTTCTGCTCCAACAATATTTTCAGGTTTACTAGTGAAGGCTAAATCAAGCAAAGTAGCGGTATTATCTGTAAGTCTAGTGTGTCCTTTTATTAATTGCTCAAATTGGTATCTGGTCGCAAGATCCTTTAGTTTACCGGTTTGCGCACTTCTGTTACTGTGGTTAGGGTCCCAATTAGGCCTACAGTTGTAATCTCCAATAAGGATTTCTTTATTTTCCGCGTCCAATTTCTTTAAACAATCTTCAAAATTTGCAAATTTTCCAAATGGGGTATCTGGTGGTCTATACCAGGCATTAATTAAGAATGGTTTAGATTTGGGCTTAGAGATTTCAACTGTGATATTGCCTCCAGATGTTCGTCCTCTACCGGGTGTCCCAAAAAAAGTACTCCGGTTTGATTCGTAATAACTTCTAAACAAGTAAAGCTTTTAAAGAGAAATAACTTGCATCAAATAGAGGAAGGACTAACTTAGATATTGATATATTACAGTTGTATTTCACTTAAAAATTCACGGAGATATTAATGTTTAAAATCGAGAGCATATTTCTGGATATGTCTGAAATATGCAAAAAACGGTGTATCAAATATATTAATCAAGATTTGCCCGATTGAAACATGCACTATTACCAGTAAATAAATTACACTTGACAAATTGTTTATTTTGAAACAAAGTATTATTATCTACAAAATCCAAGCAAGATTTATTCGTCCGAAATCCGCGTGTGTTCCTATAGCACGAATACGTTTCCTTATTTCATGAAACACTGTATCGCGAAGGATCGTTATGGATCGTTCGTAGTTCTGAATTAGGGCATGCTGTCACAATGGAATTGTGAAGCTCTCTCTTCTACCTTCAGCAACGTTCTGAAATATTGTTAAGAACACCCAAACTCTTTTTATTTTCTTAATCTTGGCAAGTTCAGAATAAACTGAGAATGAAACACAATCAAACCTTACAATTAACTCCATAAGACATAACAAGCAACTCCCCAGAGACATCCAACATTTTTGAAACAAAACGTAACAAAATAAAATAGTAGCGTTGATACTGTGATGTGTATTTGCAAAAAGGAATATTATTTCCTTTATTAAAGAATAATATTCATCCTGCTCCAACCGAAAAATAATCAACTCTGATTTGAACCCATGAAAAAACCATAAAAAATTAGGCTATTTAAGAAAAATTTAAGCGCCTGCCTTGCATGGTCTTTCATGTACCTTTAAGTTTGTTTAGACCTATTTAATATACTTGCATAATTTCGAACGTTCATATTTCAGGAAAAAATGAGCTAAGACTTACATGTAAGATGTCTAAATCTACGCCATATCCCTTACAAACCCTAACGACAATTCGCTGAAATACAATGTCATGAAGCAAACAAACGCTGGGGTTAATATTTGATATGCCGATTTTCGCTAATTTTAGACACATCCCTGTAACTGTAATATATCAAAATCTAAGTTAGTCCTTTCTCTATTTTTTTCAAGTTATTTCTGTTTGATAGCTTTACTTGTTTAGAAGTTATTCTAAATCAAACCGGAGTACTTTTTTTTGGGACACCCGGTATAGGTCATGCCTTTCCTGATAATTTATTACACTTCTTATATAGATAGCTACCCCACCACTATTTCTGTTTCTATCATTTCTGACTATATCGTACCCTCTTATATTCACATCCTGATTTGCTACAGTATACTGTCTAACCTAGTTTCCTTTATACAAATTATATCATATTGTTGTTTTTCTAGGTATATTCTTAATTGGTCTATAATCTTAATTAAGCTAATTCTAATATTTAAGTGCGCGATTTTAGAACCTCTTGTAGCAACTTTTCCTTTAGTAATACTTTTTGTATTATAATTTGATTTTTG